CTAGTCCAACCCGCCACCGAAAAAGACGGGTTTTTAGACGATCCCACTCAAGCGGGCTCGTCTTGAAATTCCTCCTAGCGATGGGAGCGTTGAACTTGGGATGATGCCCGTTTCGTTTTAAATTTAAATTTAAATTAGGACAATTTAGCCAGCCCCCCCTTCCTTGCCCCTCCCGTGCCCCGCTGTCTCCCGCAGGCGCTCCAGACCGAGATCCAGAGCTTGAAGGACCAAGTGCAGGAACTCCACCGCGACTTGACCAAGCACCACTCCCTCATCAAGGCGGAGGAGATGGGCGAAATCCTGCAGAAATCCCTCCAGGTGGACGTCCAGATCGCCTCCGAATTCTCGGCGGTGGAAATGAGGCGGACGGAGTTTGAAGAGGTGACCGCTCTCGTCTCTTTGAATTCCCCCCCGTGGGAACTCTCGAACTCGCCGCCCTGGCTGAATTCTCTCCCTAATCTTTTCCTTCCCCCTTCTTGTGTTGCTGCAGACCTGGGAGGAAACCTACCAGCGGGTGGCCAACGAGCAAGAGATTTACGAAGGTTTTTTTTTTTGGGGGGGGGGGTCTTTGGGAAGGGAGGTTTCTCTTGAGCGCGTGCAGAGTTGAATTTCAGGAGGGCAACTCGGCTTCTCTCGCCCAGCCCAGCTCCATGATCTGCTGCAGCTGAGGCAGGAGAACACCTACCTCATGGCCATCGCTAAGCAGATCGGGCCTTACGTCCGATCCATTGCCCGGGTCAAGGAACGGCTGGAGCCCAGGTGAGGAGACCCCCCTCCCCCCTGGGTTTATTGATCGATTAATCAATAAACTTGGCTCCTGGGCCATGGTTGGTGGTCTTCCTGGACTCCAGCCCTCCCTCCTGCTTCCTTTCCTCCTTTCTTCCTTCTCCTTCCCTTCCTTCTCTCTACTCTTTCCTTTCCTCCTTCCTTCTCACCTTTCCCTTCATCCCTTCCTTCTCACTCCTTCCCTCCTTCCTTCTTTTACCTTCCTTATCGCTCCTTTCCTTTCTTCTCATCTTTTCCTTCCTTCTTCTTCCCTTCCTTCTCTCTACTTTCCTTTCCTCCTTCCTTCTCTCCTTCCCTTCTCCTTCCCTCTTTTCTCCTTCCCTCCTTCCATCTTTTACCTTCCTTCTCGCTCTTTTCCTTTCTTCTCTCATCTTTTCCTTCCTTCTTCTCTCTTCCCTCTTCCCTTCCTTCTCTCTACTTTCCTTTCCTCCTTCCTTCTCACTCCTTCCCTCTTTTTTCCTTCCCTCTTTCCTTCTCGCTCCTTTTCTTTCTTCTCTCAACTTTTCCTTCCTTCTTCTTCCCTCTTCCCTTCCCTCTACTCTTTCCTTTCCTCCTTCCTTCTCACTCCTTCCCTTCTCCTTCTCTTTTCTCCTTCCCTCCTTCCTTCTTTTACCTTCCTTCTCGCTCCTTTCCTTTCTTCTCATCTTTTCCTTCCTTCTTCTTCCCTCTTTCCTTCCTTCTCTCTACTCTTTCCTTTCCTCCTTCCCTTCTCCTTCACTCTTTTGTCCTTCCCTCCTTTTTACCTTCCTTCTCGCTCCTTTCCTTTCTTCTCTCATCTTTTCCTTCCTTCTTTTTCCCTCTTCCCTTCCTTCTCTACTCTTTCCTTTCCTCCTTCCTTCTCACCTTTCCCTTCCTTCTCACTCCTTCCCTCTTTTCTCCTTCCCTTTCCTTTTTACCTTCCTTCTCGCTCCTTTCCTTCTCCTTCCCTTTCTCCTTCCCTCCTTCCTTCTTTTACCTTCCTTCTCATTCCATTCTTCTCTCATTTTTTCCTTCTTTCCCTCTTTTCCTTTCCTTCCTTGTTCCCTCTTTCCTTCCCTTTCTTCCTCCTTTCTTCTCGCTCCTTTTCCTTTCCTTCACTCTCCTTCCCTTTCTTCTTTCCTTCCCTCTTTTCTTTTTCCTTCCCTTTCCTCCCTCCTGCATCCATCCATGCCTCCTTTCCTTTTTTTCCTCCTGCAGGCCTGCATCCATCCTTCCTTTTCTCATTTTTTCCTTTTTCTTTCATTCTCTCCCCCTCCTCCTTATTCTCCATTAATTCAAGGCTCACCGAGCCCCCCCCCTTCAAATGGCCCCCCTATGCATCCGTTGTGGCAGCAATCTCACACACTCATTTTGGGGGCAACCAGTGTGTGTCTTTGTGACTTCTTGTGGGGGGGGGCTTCTCCGGCCTGGTGGGAAGCTCCTCTGGGGGGTTCACTCGGACAGACCCCCACCCCCAATCCGCTTCGCAGGTTCCAGGAGTGGAGAGAGAAAACCGGGGATCAGCCGGAGAGCCTGCTCAAAATCTACGAAGACGGACCCCTCCCAGCCGAGTCTCAGCCCAGGTAATCGATCGATCGATCCCAGGGAATCCATGAATCCTCTCCACGCTTTATCTGAAACGCCCAGGTGGCCCTCGTCTTAACGAGCCCGAAATTTCCGTTGCTAAGTTGTTGAGTGAGTTTGGCCCCGTTCTTAAAGAGAAACACGGTGGTCGTTCAGTCACACGGTCGTTAAGCGAATCTGTCTTCCCTTGTTGACTTTGCTGGCCAGAAGGTGGAATCACAGGACCCCCCCCCCCGGGGGATTTTGCAACCGTCGTAAATACGAGCCAGTTGCCAAGCGCCTGAATTTCAGTCACTAAACGGATGGTTGTAAGTCAAGGACTATCTGAATTTGGCTTGATTCTTTCCTCGCCTTTTTAATTCCCCCCCTCCTTCCTTTTCTCTCCGGAACCAAATCGGCAGCCCCGGCACAGAAGCCCAGACGCTCGGCTCTCCCACTACGGACCTGCAGCCGAAAAGCACCGAGGTCTTCAAAAACAAGACGAAAATGAGGGCAGAGACCCTCTCGGACCCCACAGGAGCCCCAGAAAGTCTAACCAAGGAAGGAGACCAGGAACCCCACCTCCTTCGGCATTGAGGGTGCCACATTTTCCTTTTGTGGAAAAATATCTACCTACAAACCAGCATCTATCATCTCTCTCTCTCTCTCCCTACCAGTATCTGTCTGTCTATCCATCATCTATCTATCCACCTACCTACCACCTACCTACCTACCAGTATCTATCTATCTATCTATCTATCTATCTATCTATCTATCTATCTATCTATCTATCTATCTATCTATCTATCTATCTATCTCTTATCTATCATCTATCTCTTATCTATTTTTTTTTTTGACATTTTATTAAGATTTATAGGCCGCCCTTCTCCCTGAGGGGACTCAGGGCGGCTTACAATCACAGGGAAAGGGGTGCAATACCAAAAGACAAACAGTGAGTGAACAAAATAAAATAGTAAAACACAACTTGCATTCAACAGTCAACACTCGGGCGGGTAAATTAATTTAGTTTAGCACTGGGAGGTTCAGATTCCCCACATTCATATAATGTTTTAAGTCTGAACATGTTCCCAACTGTTATGAGCATGCTTTTAATTGATTAACCATAGCGTTTGTAGTTTGAAATGATTGGACCAAATTTTACTTTGTTGCAATAGATTATGCCCCACTGCAGTTGGATTCTTTCATGATTTTCCTTTAAAAAATAATATCTAGCTATTTATCAAACCCCCTCCTCCTCCATTTATAGTTTATTGGTTGTATCTCAACTCTAGTGGAAACCAGTGTGATGCAGAGGATAGATCTGGCTTTGAAGGATCATGCTGGTTCAGCAGGAAAAAAAAAGCAGGAATGGTGCTTTTGTTCAGTCTCTGCAGTACATAGCATATAGTTGAATATAGATGAGAGAGAATGATATATTTTAGACAAGCATAGAAGTTGAATCAATGAATCTGACACATAGCAAGATCCCCTTATATGTTGTGCCAGCTACAGAGTTGCTTGCATGGCTGGTTGTTTGAGAATCTGAAAAATTGGGATGTCA